ACGATCGAGCTTTCTACAACGGCAGTCTCGTATCCAGTCGCTATTTACGGGTCAGATTGGATTGTTTGAAACAGAGAGTGGTCTGGATCGAGTGAAGCGTGGGGGGAGTTAGGGAAGAGGCGGGAAAAAAATAGCGCTGTTTTTCCTTCAACCCTTCCCGTGACACCTCACGCACCTTAATTCCCCCTAGTATCCAATCTTCTCTGCCCAAAAAACACGTAAATAGCGACTGGGGACGAGTCTCTCCCACAAGCTCTTCCGTCTAATCTTTATAGGTGGTTCTTTTCTACGACAGACTGTGCATGCTTCATGTATGAGGGAATTCTAAAGGGCGGTAGTTAATTTTCAATTTTCCATTCAATTTTCCCCCTTTTAGCTTAACTCTTTGCTAATCCTATGCATATTCAATCCTTGTGAGTTTGAAACACTCTGAAAAGACGGGGCACTACAGGATGGATACGGGGAATTCGTGGGAAATATTAATGAGGAGTTATCTCGTAAAGTCCAGCTGATACGAAGTCCGGTACATCTTGCTGACAAGCCGCGCTAGGATTTCTTCTTCCGTCTCATGACTGTCAGATTGCTGAACTGGAAATGGCTTCCACACAGTGATAAACTGTGAACAGATATGTAACAAAGATTATAGATTAGCCCGAATAACCACCGAGTCAACCAGCTTGAAGGTTTAAGACTTCCTTTTACAGGAAAAAAGGACGAGGAGGGGGAAGAGGAGTGGTACTACCCCAAAGTTTGGGTGGGTGTGCAGCGGGCTCAAGACGGACATAAGTGGAAGGCAATAGTGGACGCCCTATGTCCTCCCCCCACCCGCGTGACCAAGAAGATTAGATGTGCGGCGCGCACCCTGAAAACCTTGTTAGACTCGAGTCTTAGGTGAAATTAGTCACAAAAGAGATTGGTTACTTGGGACCAGACCTCAATTCTCAAGGGGCGAATAACAATAATAAAAAAAAATAAAAAAGCACAGCCGACTCCAGACCAGAGTGTGCAGAACATACTCTATTTCAAACCGAAATGGTCAAAATCTTTACTTTTTTCAGACTAAGACGAATCAAAAGCCATACACTTCACTCTCCCGAAGCACACATATATTGGTGCATCGGATTAAAACACAACATTTTGGACTATGTCTAAGTGACGTCAGTTATAGTTTTGTAAATTAAAGTCTTATTATTGCCCACCTCTTCTGGTAATTTGTAGGGGTAGAGAACATTGCCAGGATATGAATTGAGAATATTTCCCTCTCGAACTCTTGGCGGGGTGCGTCTACGTAGCGGTCTAGGGCAAAAATCGATGCTGTAAGAAGACGAACCTAGTCTGTACGGACCTGGTGGGGCTTCTTTACGTCTACGAGAAAAAAAAAAGAAAGTAATGAGTTGTCTGGAAATGTTGTCAGACCACTGATAAGTCATTTTTTGTGTTACGAGTCACAAACATATAAATGAGTTAGTTGGAAAATATTTCAACAAGAAGCCGCGCCGGATATTCCGGCCTGATTCGAGTCAACGCAGCTGTCACCAATCCGGAGTTCTGCGGCGTTGTGGCGCAATCAGCTCCAACATCAAGATAGACCAGAATTGAATTTGGGAACTTGCTCGGGCAAATTTGCACTGAAAGTTGCAAGATACCGCTATCTTAGAACTGGGCCCCCTCATTACAGAGTTTCCGCCGGAAAAGAACTTCCTGTACGACTGTAATAACCCTGGGCTTAAGACATAATGCCCCTGAATGACTATCCCGGCCTGAAATATTGTACTTTTTCTAATTAGACAGTCTAAAACAGTTCAACAATTCAGTTTTAGTTTTGTAATGTTTTTGAAACACCCCATAAGCTGCAGAGATTTAAATTCTTAATCGTGCTTACATTAAGGCTGCATGTCTCCGTCTTGTTTCAAACTTACTTCGTACTTGGAGCGGCCGGACCATACAGCCCACGATAACTTTCTCTAAACGTTGTAGTCATGGGAGCGACTGGCGGAGGTTGCTGTAATGAGGTCCCCATAGCGTTCCTGGCTGTGTATATATTGGGTACAAAACGTTAAGAGCAAATTACATAACCATTGAGTGCATTGGAATTCTCATCTTCTAACAATCGCCAAGATTTGACTTTACCTTCCTGGACTTTGGTGATTTTGTACTTTCCAGTTAATTCACGTTTCTCACCCGGAGACCTTGAAATCGCCGGGAGTTTTTCGACTTGGCATCCACCTGTTGAAGTTTTCATATGTATTATTGAGACCTGTACAGGTAAGCTTTTCCAGTTCAGCCCTGTATGATCGTGTGAGAAGCGAAAAATTTAACGCTAAATAGATATGTAAACGTCGAAAGGAAAACCGATTTAGTCCTGCAAGGTTGTTTTCTATGTGTAATTCGTGGGGGTTTCGCTTTCCACTAGCATATTTAGGAAGAGCTTTCTGCAGACTTGCCAAGTACACGACAAACATCATCTACCTGTGTTGAAAACTCTCAGTTCTCCAGATGTTGCGTTTATACCAATATTCGTTTGAAAAAGATGCGGCAATTTTGAAGTCGATAACTTCATTCTGTTTCGAGTTTCACCCGATCGGTTAGTCCATCGCCTTTAAAGCTCCGTTACTTATATTCACCAACTAAAATTGCATGAAATCAGTATTCAATTAGTCATAAAAGATTAGTTCCTTGTGTTGAAATCAGTTCTCTCAAGGGCACGTCCTTTAGAAATTGTACTTTGTTAGTTTAGAGTGGAGTTAAACCCTTTGTTCGATCGAATGAATTGATCAGCACCGTAGACATTGCAATTGTTGTTTGCAGTTCAATTAAATTTGCCTCAACACGATTTATTGCCACTGTTCTTTCGTGCCTTGCAGAAAGTTGGTGAACCGTCTAAGTTTAATTTAAATGGAAACTAATATTCTTAAGTTCCGTTCTAGCTAAATAAAGATAAAATACAAAACAGAGAGTTCATGAAACAACCCTTTGCTTTAATCCTCGTTAGTCTCATTAATCTTACAACACAATTAACACAGTGGTGGAAAACACTGCACACTTCACGCTCTTGTGTTTACAGGCAGCTGTTTGGTATCGTCTTATTTTTACTTTAGAAGTCACAATAAAAGTTACAAAAATGTTTTATCGTCTAAAAAATTATTTGCATTCACAATAAAAACATATAAATTTTACAAACAATGTCTTAAAACGGGAAAGTAAAAAGTAAGACTTAATTGTTATTTTTTATCTTTTTTTTAGAAAAAACGTTTCCGACTCGAGGTTAGATTAAAATGATTTGAATTTTCACCCGTATTGTACGCAAACAGAAAACAAAACTGTTAAAAATCTTACAAACTACTTCTAAATAAAATATCTAATTTGACAGAGGATGACACAGGATTATTTACAAAGCTAGAGTAGGTACTTCTATTTTTCAGTCCTATTTAGAAGCGTTCTCTCGTTTCCAAAATTCGTCTCTCCGTTTTCTCGCGCGTTCAAGCGTCTCGGACGCAGTTGACGCTCGACTTGACATGGCGGACACCGACAACACGTCATCATCTCGTCCCCCTTCACTACCCCCCACGCTAGCAGGTGGGCTGACACGAGGGCGGTCTGGAGGGGAGATTTCTACCTTGCGAGGAATCGCCCGACGGGGAGGTGTATACGACCGTGCATCATCCCCTAAACCCACACTCGAGGCTGGACTAGACGGACGAAAGTCCCTTTCTTCTCTCGGAGGAGCACCATGCTCGTTATGGCCGGCTTTGCTGTATGTCCGCGAAGGAGAGGGTTTCTTTTTCTTGGAAAGCGACAGGGACTTCTCAAAGCTATCGTTCAAGAGATTAGTTGTCACATCGAGGTGATGCCGTCGGGAGTGTCTCGCGTCACGAAGCTCTGGGGTCGGCGATCTGCCCCGCTCAAGAACCATGTCTTCATCATCGGAAGTCGCCTCTGTCCCCGAACCTGCTCGCCTGTCCCCGGATTCTCTCGGAGAGCGCGAACGGTCTTCGGTCCAAGCTTCGCGTCGTCTCGGAGGTGATTCGCTTCTTGTTCGGGATGGGGGTTGTCTTCTTCGATCTCTGCTCCTTTCCTCGACTGGAGAAAGAGAGCGTTGAGATTCGGAGCGAGA